AGGCATAACCCTACAACCACTGATAGGATTTCTAGAAAAACCCTAAACTAAATAACTAGAGCATGAACACAGGTCACCTAGCACAGACACATGCAGGCTCCATGATTGCCACTTCAATCTCTGTCATCTCCTAGGACCCCTACATAGTTGACTCTGTGAGCTGTGTTCTTGGGGTATCCTTGAACCTCTGGATCCTAAAATCATTCCTTGGACTCTTCAGGGAGATTCTTGGAGCTCTACCTAATATTTCGTTGTGAGACTCTGTACCTACTCTCATCAGTTGCTGAATGAAGCCGCTTGGCTCTGGTCTACAAATGTGAGAGAATATCATTAGGAATCCATTCATTGAAATTTTTTTTGTAACTTGTGTTTGTTGCTACCTTATATCTCTAAGACATCTAGATTCTAGTTCCTGGCAATCTAAGCAATGTCAGGCATTGGCTCCCTCTCTTGGCTTGGGCCTGAAGCTGAACTAGTACTTTGTTTGTCAATACCACGATCTCTGAGTTGCAATTGTGCCAGTAAAAATTGAAGGAAGGACATTAATGGGTTGAAGGTTTTTTTTTTTCTTTTTTTTTCTTTTTGCTGGGATGTTGTCCCCATTGGGGCCTTGCCTGTTTATAGAAAATGGTCAGTTCAGGCTCCAGATTCTCCATTACTAGGGTTCATCCCCAGGATTACTCTTCTAGGTTCCAAGAAGTTTCCACTGCTCTAGCTTTCCATATTTCCTCCAAATAGCCCATTATCCAAGACATGTGTACCTGTACTCTCAGCCTCTATCCCTCCCTCCCTAACCTGAAAACTCCTGTTTCCATGCCCACCCATCCCCACTCCACCAGCAAAGACTATTCTATCTCCTTTTCCCAAGGAGGTCATGTGTCCTACTTAGGGCCCTCCTTGTTACTTGGACTTTCTGGGTCTGTGAATTGTAGTGTGGTTATTCTCACTTAACATCTAATAATCTTTTATATGTGAGTTCTTATGCTTTTCTAGTTTACTTGCCTCACTCAGGATAATGTTTTTCTAGTTCCATCCATTTGTCTGAAAATTTCATGATGACATTTTTTTTCTTACAGCTATGTAATACACCAATGTGCAAGTATAACACATTTTCTTTAACTGTTCTGTGGTTGAGGGACATCTAGAATGTTTTCAGTTTCTGGCTATTAAGAATAAAGACACTAAGAACATAGTTGATCAAGTGTCCTTGTGATAGGATGGAGTGTCTTTTGGGTATGTGTTCAATATGATATAGCTCTATCTTGAGATAGATTAATTCATAATTTTCTGAGGAGCTGCCATATTAATTGTATAGTGGCTGTATACTTTCGTACTCCCATCAGCAATGGAGGAGTGTTTTCCTTTTTCCACATCCTTATCAGCATGAATTGTCCCTTCTGTGACTGAACTTAGAGATTCTAAAAGTAGTTCTAATTTGCCTTTCCCTGATGTCTAAGGGGGTTGAATATTTCTTTAAGAATTTCTCAGCCATTTGAGATTCCTGTATTGAGAATTATCTGTTTTGATCTGTATCCCTTTAAGTCATATTATTTGCTTTGTTGATGTCTAGAATTGTGAGTTCAGTATATATTTTGAATATTATCCCTCTATGTGGAATTGATAAAAATTTCTTCCCATTTTTTATGCTGACATTTTGTCTTATTGACAGTGTCCTTTTGCCTTACAGAAGCATTAGGTTTCAAGAGGTCTAATGTCAGGGGAAAGTTTGGTTCCATAGCTGCTTTCATATAATCACTCAGAGGCTTAATATTAGTTACAAATTATTAGCCAACAGCTCAGGCTTGTTACTAATTATCTCTAACAACTTAACCTGCGAATCTCTGCTGTCCTTCTTTATCCAAGCATCCTCATTTGGATTGTTCCACCTAACTTTATTCCTGCCTTGCTATAGGCTAAACAGATTCTTTATTAACCAATGAGAGTAATGCATATGCATAGTACATAGAATGATAATTCCAAAGTTGTCTAATTTATTCATTGTTGGTCTTAGTTCCTGTACTATCAATCTTGTGTTTAGGAAGCGGTTTCCTGTGCAGATCCATTCCAAGCTATTCCCTATTTTTTATCAGGTATTACATGTCTGGCTTAATGTTGAGGTCTTTTATTCACTTGGACTTTAGGTTTTTTATTATTAGAAAGAAAATTATTTTACATGTCAATCCCATGTCTCTCTCCCCTCCTCCCTTGCCCCCAAATAATGCCCTACAAATCCCATACCCTTTCTGCACCCCAGGGAGCGTGAGGCCTTCCATAGGGTATCTTCAAAAAGGCAGACACCCACAGTTAAACCTTGAATTGAACTGAAATCCAGATGAAGAGAAGGAGGACTGATGAGCAAAGGGGTCCATACCAGGCTGGTGAAACCCACAGAAACAGCTGACCTGAACAAGGGAAGTCTCTTGGTCCCCAGACTCATAGCTGGGAAACCAGCATAGGACTGTTCTAGAACCCCTGAATGTAGGTGTCAGTGAGGAGACCTTGGAAATCTATGGGGTCTCTTGTAGTGGATCAGTACTTATCACTACCATAGGAATGGACTTTAGGAACCCATCCCACATGGAGGGCTACTCCCTGAGCCTAGACACAAGGGGTTTGGCCTAGGCCATATCACAAAGAATATGACAGAACTTGGACTTGAGTTTTTTGCAGTAAGATAAACGTGGATCTATTTGCATTCCTTTACATGAAGACCTTCAGAAAACCAGCAACATTTTTCAACATATGAAAATGAGTCAATGAAATCCACTCTATGAACAAATAGAAAGAAAAAAAAAACAAATTATCATTGTATTAGATGGCAAAAAGGATTTTAACAAAGTACAACACTCCTTCATAATAAAAGTATTGGTGAGAGTAGCTATAAGAGAGACTGACCTGAACATAATAGTGGCATTTTACAGCAAGCCTATAGGCAACATCAAATTAATTGGAAATGATCACAAAGAAACTCCAATAAAATTAGGAACAAGACAAGGCTTTCCACTTTCTCCATATCTATTCAATATAGTACTTAAAGTTCTAGCTAGAACAATAAGACAAGTGAAGGAGATAAAGGCGATACAAATTGGAAAGGAAAAAAAAATAAAAGTATCATTACTTGCAGATGATGCAATAGTATATATAAGCAAACCCCCCAAAGTCTACTTGGAACTCTTAAAGCCAGTAATCACATTCAGTGATATGGCTAGATATAAGATTAAATAAAAAATTAGTAGCTCTCTGCCCACATATACAAATGCCATACTGAGAAAGAAATCAAGAAAGCGTCATCCTTCAAAATAATTCCTGAGACTAATGTTCAAGCTTCAAGATGAAGATCAGTTAAGCAAAGCAGTCAAAACAGTAGATCTTACCTCTGTCTATCTGAAATTGCAATCCTGTCCCCATTAATCCTCAGAGACAAAAGGCTCTCAGATCCTCTCTTCTCCTCCTTACAGTCCTCTCTCTGCCCAATCATGATATTCCTATCTCCAAATCTGTAGTGCTTGGATTAAAGGCATGTGATCCCAGGTTCTTAGATCATATTTGTGTGAGCTATTTATTTAGGACTCAATTAATTTCTTGTAGTTAATATGAGCTTGAACTAACAGAGATCCATCTACCAATTAATCATGAGTCCTGAGATTAAAGGTATGTGCCACCATCACATAGCTTCTATAGCTATTATGGTTGCTTTGCTATTTTGGTCTCCATTGGCTTTAATATATCATAAACTATAATATATATATATATATATATATATATATATATATAATATCTTGAAGTAATTCTAATTAAGCAACTGAAAGACATATGTGTTAAAAACTATTAGTCTTTGAAGAAGGAAACTGAAGATATCCGAAGATGGAAAGATCTACCATGTTGTGGATAGGTAGAATTAACTTAGTAAAAATGGCCATCCTACTATTAGCAATTTACAGATTCAAGGAAATCCACATCAAAATTCAAACACTCTTTACATATATTGAAAAAACAATATTCAATTTCATATGGAAAAACAAAATATCCAGATAGCCAAAACAATCCTGAACAATAACAATGCTGCTGTAAGGACCACTATCTCGGATTTAAGCTGTACTATAGAACTATTGTAATAAAAAAAAAAAAACCCTGCATGGTATTAACAAAAACAGACGGAATTGAATTAAAGACCAGAAATAAGTCCACACACAATGGACATCTGATTTTTGATGGAGAACTCAGAAATACCCAAGGATAAAAGCATCTTCAGCATTCTTGAAACTACTATTATTTCTTGAACATAATTTTATTGAATCTTCAGGAAATTATTAAAATACTTTTTATTTAAAAACAATCTTATTTTAAATATCAATCTCAGTTCCATCGCCCTCCTGTCCTCCCATGCCTCCCACTTATTCCCCCTTCTTACTCCCCATTCATTCCCCAGGAAGAGGGAGGCCTCCTCACCCATCCTCCTTTCCTATCCTGTTTCTCTTACCTCATTCCCCCTGTCTTCTCTGCCATGATCCCAATTTCTTCAGGAGCACTTGTTCCTTTCCCCTTCTCTGGGGGACCATGTATCTTCCTTAGGTCCTCCTTCCTTCTTAGGTTCTCTGGCAGTATAGATTGTAGGCTGGTAATCCTTTGTTCTATGTCTAATATCCATATAAAAGTGAGTACATACCATGTTTTTCTTTCTGTGACTGGGTTACTTCACTCAGGCTGGTTTCTTGTAGTTCTATTCCAGGAAATAATCAAAGTGAGGGGTGAAATCAATAAAGTAGAAACAAAGTAAACAATAGAAAGTATCAAGGAAACAAAGAGTTGGTTCTTTGAGAAAAACAACAAGATAGACAAACCATTATCCAAACTAACCAAAAGGCAGAGAGAGAGAACATGCAAATTAACAAAAGAAATGAAAAGGGGAGCATAACAACAGACTATCAAGAAATCCAGAGAATCATCATGTCATACTTTGAAAACCTGTACTCCAGAAAATTTTAAAATCTCTTATAAATGGACAATTTACTGGTTGCCAAAGAAACCCTGTGCAGTAAAAAATGGAGGATTCACCATTCCTGACCTGAAGCTCTACTATAGAGCTACAATAATGAAATCAGCATGGTATTGGCACAAAAAACAGACAGGTAGACAAGTAGAATCGAATTGAAAGCCCTGATAATAATCCATATGCTCTGAACACCTGATTTTTGACAAAGAAGCTAAAAATATTCAATGGAAAAAGAAAGCATCTTCAACAAATGGTGCTGGCATAACTGGATGCTGACATGTAGAAGACTGCAGATAGTTCCATATCTATTGCCATGCACAAAACTTAAGTCCAAATGGATCGAAGACCTCAACATAAATCCAGCTACATTAAAACGCTTAGAAAAGAAAGTGGTAAGTACTATCGAAAGAATTGGTAAATATTAATAATTGGGAACCCCTGAAATGGAGAAGCTTCTGCAAGGCAAAGGACACCACCAACAAGACAAAACCGCAGACCACAGAATGGGAAAATATATCCAACAACCTCATATCTGACAGAGAGTTGGTTTCCAAAATATACAAAGAACTAAAGAAGTGAGTCACCAAAACACCAACTAATCCAATTAAAAAGTGGGGTACAGAACTAAATAGAGAATTCTCAATAGAGGAATAAAAAATGGCTGTAATACACTTAAGAAATTACTCAACATCCTTAACCATCAGGGAAATGCTAATCAAAACAACTCTGATATACCTTCTCACACATGTCAGAATGGCTCAAATAAAAAAAAAAAAAAAAAACCAAAGATCAGTTTATGCTGTGCAGTATGTGGAGAAAGGACAGCAGTCCTCCATTGCTGGTGGGAGCGCAGACTTGTAGAGCAACTTTGGAAACAGTATGGCATTTTCTCAGGAAAATAGGAATCATTCTACCTCAGGATCCAGCAATTCCACTATTAGGCATATGCCCCAAGGATGCACATTCATACAACAGGAACATCTGCTAAAATATGTTCATAGCAGCATTATTTGTAATAGCCAGACCTGGAAGCAACCTAAATGCCCCTCAACAGAAGAATGGATAAAGATATTGTGGTGCATTTACACAATGAATTACTACTCAGTAGGAAAAACAAACCAACAAAATCTTGAAATTTATAGGCAAATAAATCTTTAGGAATCTTCTATCATGCATCCCAATTATGCTCACCTCCAATACTCTCCATAACTTCCCTTACACTCTGAAGCATCCCCCAAATGAAAATTTAAGAAAATCCAACCAAATGAAGCAATCAAAGAAACAAAACAAGAAGAAAAATAATCAAAACAATAGCAAAAAGAAATTTCTTTGCTGATCCCTCTTTCCTGCCTCTCCAATACTACTTCATTCACCCTGTTGTCAATGCCAGTCACCCTGAGTCACAGAAATCCTATCATTCCACAAGGCCACTCCCTCCACTAGCTTCAGCAGGTCAAAAATGGTGTAGATGTTGATGTAGGCCAATCACATGTCTAACTTTGGACCTGGGTAGTAGTTGAAGTGGTCAGTCCAGGCCAATGAGGCAGAGGACTCTCTGGCAAGGAGCGCGGGCAGTTTGCTTTTTCTCTTGCCATCATGGTCAGTTCACTGTTCCTTGTTTTGAATGGGGTTCATCTTTCCAGAGTGCATGTGTGTGACAGCTATCCTATGAGTGTCAGTGCCAGATTTCTTATTGCAGAGTCCAGCTATTTCAGGGCTAGTCAATGGCAAGGCCAGCTCAGCATGGCCCTCTGATTCCAACAGGCATGTTTCACGTGGTCATCTGAGGTGACAAGGGCAACAGATATCAACACAGACCCAATCTCCAGCAGGACCATGTACCCAAACTTCACACACACACACACACACACACACACACACACACACATATATGTACTTGTTTAAAAATATATTTGTTTTAAAATCATAATTTCCATTTAAACATTCATGGTGACATTCTGAAGTCACTTTTCTTTTAATTCCCATGGTTATTTGTTCCATGTGAATAGGCATAATTAATAGTATGCCTAAGAGTTGAATCTAGATCACCTGTTGTAGAGCAGAAAGTTCTCCATTTTTTATGAAGTCATTTTTCTCCTAGCTGAGGTATTTATTTTCCACAGTCTTGAACATATATGCCCAAAAAGGTTCTGAGGTAAATTAAAACAGTAAGACATGAAGCCCAGACACTAATTGTTTTGTATATCCTACACATGTATGTATGTATGTATGTATGTATGTATGTATGTATGTATGTATGTATGGCTATTTAGTGCACTCCAAGCTCACATTAGAGGTACAATAAAGTGTACATTGAAAAATATGTCCATATGATGCTTTCACATAAGAGCACATTACAGAATGGAAGAAATTTGGGAATACAGCTAGAAGCTGCTCATAAATTATAAGAAGAGATGAGATATATCAAACCAAGTGGTGAAGGGCATTAGGCAGGTCCCAGTGTACTTGATGCACTTTGCCATGATTAACATGAAAAAGTAAATGCTGAGGAGGAATGTTAAAAATCTGTGGGCACCTGGAGTTCACTGCATATTTACAAGCAGTGGGACAAGTTGAATGAACTTTCTATTAGGAAGCTCAATTGGTCTGAGCCACTTCCTGTTAGCTCAGTGAATCTGTCTCCCAGGAAGCTTAGCTGGTCCATCTTTTAAGCAGTTGGTGCTAATCTAAGTTTTCTCTCCAAAATCCTTACTGTTCTTTAAACTACATAAGGGAGATGTTCTGTGAATGTGGTCAGTTTCAAGGAATTCCTGAAACTGAGATGTTTACATCCTGAAATTGAAGCTTTCCTATAGGATGAAATGTTTCACCTCCCCTGAGAAAATACTGAGTCTAGCTGGGCAGTGTTGGTCTACAGAGTGTTCCAGGATAATCAGTGCTACACAGAGAAACCCTGTCTGGAAAAACAAAAGAAAAATAAGAAAGAAAAAGCCAAGTCTTAATTCCTGCAAAATGGGAAGTTTTATTTGGAGGAAAATGTTTCATAAAACATATAAAATATTTCTGCTAAGACTTATTTCTCCCACAGTAAGATATAGAATATATTTTCACACTTCTTGATATTAGAGTATAAGACTGGAGAGAGATGATTGAATGTTAATTTACTATTTATATTACAATATTCTTTTACATCATGACAATTGATGCATTTTGTCGAATAAAGAGCATAGTGAACAGTAGTAAGTCTTCTCTCTATGGAGATATTGCAAGGGGGAAGAAGGGATATATTTTATGTGCTACTTTGTAAATACTCTAATGAGATTTTGAAATCTACAATATTCAAATAGATGTAACTTCATAACATGTACTGCATTTAAACATTTATAACAGCTACATGATAATGATAAATTAAATTATATAACACAACCACATTTTCTAAAATTCTAGTGATTTTCTTTACTTAGATGCATGCATTGTTTCTGATTTTTGTAAATACTGAAAATCTTACAAGAATATAGAAGAATTTGATAGAATGCTTATTTTGTGCCTATTCTAAATCAGTATATTCATGAAAATATGATGTTAAGGTGGTAGACATTCCATAATAAGTAGTATTGTTATTGAGTGTGCAGAATACAGGACTATACAAGAAATAAAGAAACTTATTGCAAAATGGTACGTAAGAATTGAACTCTGTAGGTCAAGTAGGCAAAACAAGTGTTGTGATCACTCTGACATAGTCTGCTTCTTAGAATGTAAAGTTTTGTGATTTTTAACTCACAAAAGTATTAGTCTTAGAAACAATTAACAAGTATTAATGTACTGCCACATCAATTAGTGTCTAAGGGGGTTTAAAGATAAAAATAAAACATACAAACAAAAGCAAAAATAAAGATATATTTAAAAACCCATTTGAACCATGCAAATAATATTAAAACATATTAAACTGATGATCAAATTTAACATTTCTATATTTTCAAAGAAAATAAGGAAAGATTGATTTATTGTTTGATCAAACTACTTTAAAATGTACAGAATGAAGTGAATTTAGATGATAAACTAAGATAAATCATTAAAGTATTGTTTGGAAACAGACAACTATCATCCATCACCTGTATTTCTGCTTCTTCTGAATTATTTAGACACAGGTTTATAGAAAGTAAAAAAGAAAGAGGCATCATTAATGATTTGATAGCCATATGAGCTAATGAGTACTTTTATATTGTGTTGGAAATAGGAAAGTGTATAAAGAATTGAAAAATTATTTTTTTAGTATTTGAGTGAAATAATGAACACAAAAAAGGTTAGCTCATATCTCAGCAAATGCATCCCTATGATGTACTTCAGGGAAATGAAATCATAGGTCAAGAAGTGGACTTATGTAAAAGTTGTTTACTTCTATAAAAGGTTATTATGGCCCATTTGAACCAACAAGGATAGAGTCATAAGAAATGGCCATCAAGAAGTAAACTCACAGCATTAGCATTGTGCACAGTGAAAGCCAAAAAGTTAAGTGATTTGAGTTAATGGCTTAACATAGTTGTTAGAACAGGAAACAATGAGGTCAAGAAGCTAGCCACCAAAAGATCAAACAATGCAATTAAAACGTGGAGTTTTAGTGGAGAACTAAATAAAGGATTCTCAAGAGAGGAATCTAAAACGGTTGAAAGACACTTGTGAAATTGCTCAACATCCTTAGCCATCATTGAAATGCAGCTCAAAACCACTCTGCGATACCATTTTATCAGAATGGATAAAATCAATAA